GGGGGGGGGTCCGATACTTCATGAACACCCTGTATAATAATAAAACTATTATAAATAAATTATAATTAAATAAATAAAATGGATGCCAGAGATGTGCAAGACTGCGTTTATACTTGTGCGATATATTATGCAAACTAAGTCATAAATTGTGTAAAGAACATAGGTTCTAACTCAACTTACTACGTAAAAGCCAAAATTTTAAATCCTATTCTGCGCAGGATATAAAAATTTCTGAAAAATATTCACATAATTTATTCTTTAAGTCTCAATAAGAATAATTTTACATATCTTTTTCATTATTTTATCATTTTCATAATCGGATTCAGTTATCACTTTACTTCAAATTGAATTAATCTAAGCAACGTTGCATTAATAATTCAGAAAAATGTTAGCAACGTTCCGAATTCATTTCCTGTCTTTTCATTAAACCTCTTGTGGCAATTCGAATGAAAAGTTTTTCGCAACCTATCAAAAAGTTGCGATTTTGTAATCTATAAAATTTATACGCGGTTTCACAATATAGACTATGGCCTCGGTTCAATTTTCGCTATTTTGAAAGTTGGCTTATGTTATTGATCAGCTATCCGGATAAAGGCAATCGCCTACAATTGCAGATGATAATGATGGTGCGAATCTCACGTAAAAAAAGCTGTCAAAAGGTTTAAATAGCAAGCTAAATGCAAACGATTAGCTGCAATGGTGACAATGATAGGTACAACGCAGTGCATTTTATTTGTTAAATTGTGTTATTGCTTGTCCAGTTGCTCACCTACAATAATAATTGGTAATAAAATGGCTATTCGTATATAGAATGAGTAAGCAATTCCTGTAATCTTAATTACAGAATAATCAATTACTTTGATTATTATTATTACTAATAATTATTTTGTCTGATTACTAAGTAATAAAATTACTTTGTAAGTATGATTTGAAAGTATGATTATCAGCAATCATGATTATCAAAGTAATCGATTATTCTGTAATTAAGATTACATAAATTAGTTAAAAAGTCTAAGTAATTAATTATCAAAAGTAATTGATTATGCTCATCTCTGATAATTATCGTACTATTATATAAAAATACTATTAGTTGCTTCGTAACGAATTTTTCTCGTAACAATTTTACATCAAAATTTTGTTTTAAGATGCAGGATCGCATCTTGAGAAAACGTTACTTGAGAAACGGAGCGACATGACGTATAAAACATGCTATAATCTTTGATTATAGGTTAATGTGACAAAAAATCGACTAGAATTTAATTGCGATTTCTAACGTGGCACTTTACTCTTATGATAACATGCATCAGTACACGGGTTTAAAAATTGTTTAAAAGTAGTTAAAGGCCGGAATTGTCGACAAAACTTGTAAAAATCTTTGATAGTATCGAAAAAGATTATAAAGTCGGTTGAAACTGATATTAACGGAGGACTTTACCCTTGTAATGCGCCGTATACGGGTTAAAAATTATTTGAAAATGATTACAGACCGGAACTGTCGCTGAAGCCTGAGGAACTATAGAACTCTTCGAGAACAATAGAATAGATATAATTTCATGATAAAAATTATTTTTTTTTTTAATTGAGGTGTCATGCAGCGATTATAGATTAAAAAAGAATTTTAAAAATACTTAAAGACCAGAATTGCTATAACCTATTAGGACCTATGAGTCTTCGAGAATTATAGAATTTCACAATAAAAATTAATTTTTGAAATTTGAAGTGCGAAGTTAGAACCCTATTATATTTTTCAAATGTTATTGTTTTTAACTACGTCACCAGAACAATTTCTAAAACGTATTATAAACTGTAGAATTATAACGGATAATTAACAGAACTGATGAAACTTTTAATTTTTTTAAGTGGAATGTTATCTCACTTTACAGAAAAAAGCTCTTAGGTGTTACATATCTACCTGCATATATGGCGTTTGATAGGTGAACTCCTTGTCACAGTATTGAGAAAAAAACAACGGAAAGTATCGTTCAAAAATGAAGAAACGCGCGTTTATTTGTTTTTTCGCTTTGGCGATTTTCTTTAAGTTCACGTACTGTTATGACACAAAGAAATTCACGTTGAACATGCCAAACATGAAACCGAGCACAGTAAGTATATATAAACCTTCAGTTTTTATGAACAATGCATGTACAATATAATACAATCTAATGATGTGACATTATAGTTCTTGCGACACATAAAAATATGGCGTATAAATTACCAAATAATTCACAGAGCCTTTTTGCTAATACACATATCTACATATTTTGTATTATCTTTAATTTTCTTAGTTTTTATGACAATTTCAGTAAATACTACGCACAGTGTTAATGTATAACAAATAATCTCTCAATTTTGAAAAAAAATAATTCACATAATTTTTTTCGGAATAAATATTATATCTGATTTTGTTTACAGACCGAATCGTTTTTATGCGCTCCGTTTAAAGTAGACTCTGCAAGGAATTATTATGTTACTGGTTTCGATATGAATTCAACCGCACGAAGCCATCATATGACCATCTACGGTTGCACGAAACCAGGAAGTTCAAAGTCAGTTTGGGAATGTGGACAACAGTTTTATGATAATCCTGGTGTAGATACTCCTCCTTGTGCGGAAGGACCTCAGGTAATATTAATATTGAAAAATCGTATTTCATAAATGTGTTTTAGATATATTGTTGAAAAAATTTTACTTATTTGTACAGATTATGTATGGATGGGCAGAAGATTATTTCGGTCTGCCAGAAGGTGTGGGTTTTAAAATAGGCGGCGATTCTCCCGTCCAGTATATCGTATTGCAAGTGCATTACTCAGACCCCAAAGTCTTTAAGATGAATGACAGAACAGATACTGATGTACATCTGTATTATACTACGCAAAGAATGGACAAGCAGGCCGGAGTTATTGTGTTAGCATCAGGCGGTTCCATACCGGCAGGCAGAACGACATACCTGGAATCGGCTTGTTCCATAAAAGAGTATAAGACTATTCATCCATTCGCATATGCAACGCATACCCATTCGCTCGGAACAGCCACGTCCGGCTACGTAGTGAAGCCGAATAACAATTGGATTGAACTCGGTAAGAAAGATCCACAGGAACGTAAGACGTTTTTGCCCGTTACCTACAAAACTTCAATCACGTATGGTGATACGTTGGTTGGCCGTTGTACGATGAAAAGTACACGCGATAGGACTACGTACGTAGGCAAAACAGAACAAGATGAAATGTGTCGCTATTATATCATGTATTATGTCGACGAAGGCACTCCGCTTAACCAAAAAATTTGCTATACCCCTGATGCTGTGTATTATTCAAAGGAAGAGTAATATTCCTGACAAAGAGGCATCTAATTTATAATATAATCAATTTTTATAATATACTATATAATATATATCAATATTATAATATATGTATAATGTAATATATATCAAATATCTAATATGTAATTATCTTTTAATTGCACATAAAACAAGGCCAAAATGTTCCAAAGCGCTGATACACTATGCTTCTCAAACGCAGCGATTTATATGTTTTATGATAAAAGAAGTTTAAACTGATCGATACCTGTAAATTCGCTTGTTCTTATTGTTTTACAATATTCTTAACTACAGTTCTTAAGACGGTTTTGAATGTATGCATAATTTATTTTCAAATATCGTGTTTTATCCAAATGAAACAAGTTATCATGTACATGTATGTTAAAGCGTTATGCAATCACATATATGACACAAAAAGGTAACCTTCGGTCTAGTTTCAATTAATATTTATTATTACGTCCATATAATTTGAAAAAATTGGAGATTTAAAGACATTGTTACAATTGCATGTGTTATGTATAAATCCTGATTTATTTTAAAAACTAATTAGTAAGTATAATACTTAGAATTTTAGAATCACATGCATTTAAATAATTCCATCACTAATTTTAAATAGCATAACCGTTTACAAACTGATTCATTAAACATACTAAATATGTATGTGACGAGAGAATACTACGGTCAAATGTTACGAAGTCTTTTCAATATCTCCTCTGGACTATACTATAAGAAGTTTAAGAATGTCTTGGAGACTGCACAAGTGTTAAATAAAGAGATATAAATACAATTATGTAGCGTAATTTTTCGGCGATATCATTTACTATATTATTTTAAGAGTAAATATAATATTTATTTTCGATTATGTTAAACTGACAGTTACCTCTGAGAAAAGATCTAATTATGAAACATGTATTTCAATAAATAACGCGCAAAAGTTGTTTAATTTTTTATCTCGGTATATTAAATAATAAAATAATTTAATAATTTTATCTATTCAACAAAATAATATACTGCTAATAATACTGCTTGAGTTGATCACCAATTAAGTTAAATTTTGACGTCACTCTAATAATTGGTGATGAAGAAATAAAACGGATGAAATATATTACAATATTATATAACAAACAAATATAATTGAAATTAAATTGAATTTCAGAGTAAATATTTCGATTCAGGGACTACCCTCCAATGACCTTAACCTTGACATATATTCGACAAGGTCATGGCAGTGAGTGACCTACAAAAAGTTTTAGCCGTCGGTCATATTTATTAAAAAATATCAACAAAAAATGTTTCATAAAATCGAAAACTTATGTGGGACAATTATAGACTTTGTTTAACCCTTCTCTCTATAACCGGGTACCCGGGTACCCATTTCGTACTTTTTGCCTTAATATCGATAACTTTTACTCAAAATTGCGCCAAACGGCTCCGGTTATCCATTATTTAGACAATTTC